GCACTGAGAAGTAGAGGCTGGAGGCTCCCTGGAATTCACTGGCCAGCCAGCCTAGCTAAACGAGTCCCAGCTTCACTGAGAACCACACTTGAAAAATAAGTTAGGGAACAAATGGAAAAACTCTTAACATCAATCTCCAGCATACATATGCAAATACATACATATGTACACATGTGAACATGTAGGCTCACATGTAAACACATAAAATAACTGAAGGGGCATAAGAACTGAGGATTCTATTTTTTTTTTTAAAATCCTTAAGGCATTGATTGGGTTTTCTGTTAGACAATTGCCCTGTTCCTCCACAGTGTGCAGGTTTCTTTCCAGGTTCCAGGCAGGGAAAGGAACTCATAATTGGGGAGCAGGTGATGCGGCATGAGATGCCAGAGGCCGTATATGTGCCTCTCAGAACCCAGTGATGTCTGAAGTGGACTCTCCTCCCAAGCCATGAGAGGTGACCAGGTGATGGAAGTTACCTCAGGTCAAGTACAGTGCACACTAGGAGGGATGCCTCTGGCTCCCTGTTAAAATACATTTCATAGAAAATTCACACACACACACACACACACACACACACACACACAAGTTGTTACCCAAATTTCTAACACAGCTAAACAGGAAAATGGCCTTTAACATTCTCTGTAAGTGTACTTGGCAAGGGATACACAGATAAAGTAATTTAAAGTATGAAAATGAAGAGTTACCTTACCAATATTTCTAAGTAGATTATTTTATTTAAATTCCTTATATGTTCTGCGAGTTGTGGCACACACCTTTAATTGAAGAAGAGGCATGTGGATCTCTATGGGTTCTAGGCCAGCCTGGTCTACATTGTAAGTTCCAGGTCAGCCAAGATTGTTTAATTATACCATACTTCAAAAAAAAGTCAATGACAATAAAAGTTCCTTGCACATTACTGGAAACAGATTTAAGCTCACATATAATATTCCAATCACACCCTACTTAAATAAATATCACCAAGTAATCCTGCCTGAATGATTTTGCTGCCACGTTCTTTTCTTGCCTTTATTTTATGGCCTCTTGAATTTAACACCAGCTGTAACTTTTGGAAGGGGAGTCATCTTTAATGGGGATGAAAGCACTCAACTTGCAATCAAAGGATGTAGGGCTCCAACTATCTAAGCTGCAAATTGGTCTGTGTTCACAGAGAATGCTTTGTTCCCAAGATGCGGAGGTCAAAAATGTTCTGCTTCTTGGATTAACACATTATGTTTTATTTACAAAAATGGGACATAAAGAAAGAAAGAAAATCGGTAGCGATTGACAAAGAGGAGAAGATGGAGATGGGGGAGGGAGAAAGCAAAACAGATCTACAATTTTCACTCATATTTAAAATTACAATGGTATGCATTTCTTAAATAGATGGTAAACTAAATAAATATCTCACAATACTGAATTTTGGGAAGCAACACATTCATACTGACCTCTATGTAAAAAAGTAATTCTTTTCTTTATGCTGAAATTCATTTTGATTTCAAATAATAACCATAGGCAGAAATCCTTGAAAGTCTAACTGGTTTTGATTTGGTCTCCTTTAACATGACATGAACTATAGTTCAAACTCCAGCTGTTGCAGAAGTAGTTAAGATGTAACAGAATTTATTTGAATCTATGAATTTAAATGTATTCCTATTCCCTTTCATCATGATTTGTATTTCTTTACAGCAGACAATTAAATGTGGATTTAAAGGTTATGCCTTTCTTAGTAGATTGATCAAAAAGAAAGGTGAATAAGTCAATCTCTTAAATCAATTTGACTATCCCTCATATTCAGTGACAGTGAGCAGAGAAACCCATCATGGGTGCTGTACTCTGGCCACTAAACCTGCTGGAGGAAGGAAGAGGGAGGGACCTTAGGAGTAACAGGCCTGTCCCCTGGTCCTTAGGCTGGAATGCTTATGCTCATCCCAGCTTATGCCACACTTCTCTTACTCCATCTCTTCAGATGACTGCCTCTACCAGAGACCTCCTCAGGTCAGATATCACCATCTTACGGATGTCCCAGCTCTCTCTCTCTCTCTCTCTCTCTCTCTCTCTCTCTCTCTCTCTCTCTCTCTCTCTCTCTCTCTCTCTCTCTCTCTCGTACTCACACTCACTCTTACACAGAAACATACACACATAGGCACATAAACACACACACACACATACAGACACACAGATATAGGCACTCACTCACACTTTTTCTATTTTTGTCTCTGTCTATCTCTCCCTCTCTCTCTCTCTCTCTCTCTCTCTCTCTCTCTCTCTCTCTCTCTCTCTCTCTCTCACACACACACACACACACACACACACGTGCATTTAACTTCCAGCCTCTCCCTCATGGTGAAACTGACCACTTCCTTAACCTCATAGGATTTGTAATTCTTGTTAGACATCTATTTCTGTATTTAAAAACCTCTAGTACTTAACTTATCTTTAAATGAATAACAGAAATGATGATGGTAAGGTAGGCAGGAAATAATGCATCTTGTTCTCAGTTGAAGTTGTAGCTATGCATCATGGGGACAATAATATGAATGCAGCTGAAGGAACTGAACGTATATAGGGCTATGAAGAATCTCTCTTAGCAGGATTGGAGGCATGTCTACATGATCTGGTCTGGTTAGTCTCCACTGTGCCCCAAAGTTCCTTAAACTCAGGGACATATTTTCTGCCCTACTCTTTATCACTCTGGACCTGGTGAAAATGTAGCTCATGGTGGTTCACTGGGGGTCTTCTAGGAACTCAACCAATTAGCTCAGATAAGGAGAGAACACATATTCCCAGGTAATCAGGGTTGACCTGTGCTCAGTCAAATCCACTCAGCCCAGTTTCCTGCTCTATGAAAAGAAAACAAGACACTTTCTGTAGCATAGCCTATAGCATCATGTTCCATTAGCTTCTTGTAGTTATGCTATGTATCTGTGTGTCTAGTGATGAATCTACTCTCTAGCCAGGGTGGTCTTAACATTCCCGTTAACTCTGCTAAGCTCCTGTGAGCAGATCCCAACTTCCCTTTAATTAACACATTTATTTTGGCAAACCTATAATTGTCAATTATTTTGTCGCCTCTTTGAGACAAAAATCCCCCAGCTGCTTACCAGTTTTTATAACCTTAGGATTCCTTTCTTCTTCAGTCTGGGAGGCATCCCTTTTGAAATGTATGCTAAACTTTGCCTCCTGGTTTCTGTGAGAATTTATGAGACTAATTTATATAATAGACAATAAACAAAACCAGATGGCCTAGTCACCCAGACCAACCTCTCCATGGTGCCTTGTAGTATTTTTTGCAATGTTTCACTTGGCCAATAAAAGCCCACTTTCTTTTAGTTCAGCACAGTTGAGTTCACTGTTTTTCACATACAGTGATAATCATGAATAAAGAAAGACTTTTTGTGTGTTCAGGTCTCGGTACCTCTTAGGAGACATGTATACTAAAATTTAATAGATACTACGTCCCTCATGGAAGATATGACTGCTCCAGAAGGCGAACATGTTTTTAAAAACCCAACCTTCTAGATAAAATGTCAGTGGCATCCACTTGGTGAACAGCAGGGTTTTTTATACTTGGGAGTGAGATGGTTTTCCACAAATGCTATTAATTTGGGATAGCACTGGGAAAATACTCTGGCCAAATGGGAGCTAAATGAGAAAAATATCCCAGGAGCAAACGCAGCTAAATTGATCCGTTACCTCATATCATACAACTCTTGTAATGGTTTGACTATAATGTTGGTACCACATTTGTTGGGAGTACAGCAAGAAAGTCCTTGCACCCACAGATCACTAAGGGAGATGGGGAATGTTAAGAACACAGGATTGTCTACCTAATGGGAAAGATGGAAAATCTGTTCTTCCATTCAGAAAGATGGGGATTGCAGGTGATTAATAACCCCATGATCTGTTTTATCTGTTGAGCCAAACCAAATCAAGCTCCTACAACCAGGACTGGAAGTAGCTAGTAATCTAAATGGCCCTTATAACCAGGCGCTCCCTCAAGCTCTTACAACTAGGACCAGAGATAGTTTTTGTTTGTTTGTGTTTTGAGACATGATTTCTCTGTGTAACATCTCTAGCTGTCCTGGAACTAGTTCTGTAAACCAGGCTGGAGACCAGAGATCCTTAATAGTCTAAATGACCTTTACATTTTCCGTAGAGCTGGAGGCCCCACTCCAACTACTCACAACCATGACAAGAGGTGACTGACAGCCCAAATGATCCCTACAGTATCTGTATGGTCAAGACCAGGCCAGGCCCTTCCTTAAGCCTTTAAGCTAGTACAGGTAGCCTATCTCTAGAGCCCATCTTGTTGGAAGAAATAACATGTATCATGAGTCATGTTTCAATGTAAGTACACTTCCTTGTGCACCAGGGACTGTATTACACCAGAAAATTACTTTCTAAAGTGTTCTATGCTTAAATCTGTTGTTAATAAAGCATCTGGCATCAGACTCCCTGAAGTCTTGATCCTGGTTGATGAAGTCCATCTAAACTGAGTTTTTATTCTCACCTCCTCACAGGTCCTTTCACTGCCATGACCACCTGCAGGGTTCCCCTCACATGCCAAGCGCTTGGTGTGAAAATCTCGGCATTCAGGTTTTGTTGTCTCTGGTGTGGACAATTATTACAAGATGATTATATTATTTAGCACTATGAGAACTAGACATGGGAACATGATTGCCTGAACCCAGCAAAACTTGAGATAATTTCTGAAAACATTTCATCTCTGTTCCATGAAAGCAAGGGACGGAATCTTCAGACTAGGAAATGCTCAGTGAACTTTAGCTGTAGTCACTTTCCCTGTGCAAATGCACAAGCGGGAGCTTTCATTCCCACAACTTTCTCCTGTCTAGTAAAGGGTAACCACTAATGGGTAGCTAGTTATGGTGGCTTCAAGCAGACTTTCACTTCTCTTAATTGCTATGCTTGTAAATATTTCTGAACTCATTTGTGAGACATTGTCTTCTTCTCTCCTCACCCCAACCCCTCAATTGTTTTAGTGATGGATGGGCAGACAGAGATGAAGTCATTGAAGGCTATGAGGTGGAAGCCAATGGAGGAATCACAATAAAGCTGCAGTCTCCAGAGGTCAGGTCTTTCGATGACTACTTCCTGAAGCTGAGGCTAGATACCAACACAAGGAATCCTTGGTTCCCCGAGTTCTGGCAACATCGTTTCCAGTGTCGCCTACCTGGACACCTCCAGGAGAACCCCAACTTTAAAAAAATTTGCACAGGTAACTGTTGACAAAGTAACAACTCAGTGTGGGTCATCTTCTCTACTTCCATTATAGTCTGTGAATGTGAATAAGTTGTATCAGGGCTGGGGCTTCAAAGGAGAATAAATGAAAGTCTAGCTTATAAAAGAGCTTAAATAAAATAAATGTACATTGCCCTCTCTCACCATGGATTTATGTTCCCACGTTTTAGGAAGACTAGTCTCGGGTGGAGCTTGTGACAAAAATAAACAAAAGAAGTAGATGACAAGCCAACAGAACAGTTAGACATTCAGTATTTGAACTGGAGGGGAAAAGTGGTTTTGTACACTTATGTGATAGTAGCCACAGACACATATAAGCAACATTGATTTGGTCCTTTCCTCTGTGATTGCTTTAATCTACGGGTCAGGGGAGGAGTCGGTTGCATCATCTTAGGCCATGAAATGAACATGATGTTTGTGGATACAGGTGTCAAGAAAGTGCAGTCTCACCTGGTCGCCAGAGGGTGGCTTCCAGTTGGACAGCAGCTGCTGGCGCACTGAAGCGAGGAGAAAGAGTAGCATGTCTTCCCAAGTTGTTTGGGGGCTTGGTGGACCCCAAAGGATGATGTTTTCCCTTAGGAATTATTTAGCTTAGACTTATAACACTGTAACTATTATGTGAATTATCATTATTGGGTAGGGAAATTGCTGCCTCTTATCATTTTCAAGTATGATCTATGATGCAAAAAATAAATAAATAAATTGTCTTTGCCCTATCATAATGCCATTCTAAGCCATTTGATCATACAAAGATGATATAGCATGAAGATTTACACATAATGATGGATTGTACTCTACTAAAGGTCTCATTTTTTTATGGCACAAAAAAGTGTGGGTGTCCTGGATTGAGGTTAGCAGATACTTGAAACATCCTAGAAATTAATTATTCATATAATTTTCATGTGTAGAACTTGTGTATAGAAGCAATTGAAAAGAGAAGAGTATAATCTATAACTCTTGACCTGTAAGCATGTATTTTCTTTGGGCATATCAAAGTGAAAGAGATAAGTAATCCAAGACAATAAGCTTTCACAAGATAGGGTAAGAAATATTTATTGCACAAAATATTCTATTTTCAATAATACTTAAATTTGATACAAGAAAAGTTTATAAACCAATACATGTAAATAGAATATGGTAGCTCTAACTTAGTCATTTTTAAAAGAGTTCTTTGGGGGAAACTTTTTGTTATAAATCTGTTTCCGTTCTAGGCTTTTAGAATATCTGCAGCATGGCTTACAGGGAAATTGAGAATACAACCTACCTGAGAGGCAGGAGGAAGGGGTGGGAAGGTACTACACAATGAGCCTGTTTGCCATGCACATATTTTGACTTTTTCCTTCTCTAATAAAGACTCACAGAGGGTAAGAATTCCAAAAGTCCAATAAATTTTCTCAATCAGTCTCCTTATTTACCAACCTGTCATGTTTAGAATGAGCAGTGGCAGTATTTCTCTCTCTCTTTCTTTCCCATAGTAAACAGAAACAATGGAATTGGGGTAGTACACAATGCCTGAATCTGTTTACCTGGCTTTTCTAAGAAATGCTTTAGTACTTAAACTGTAACATCTGTGAAGACAGGTCTTGCATCTGTGAGATAATTCTTCTTAGCTAAATGATCATCTAGCTTGCATTTTCTTAGAGTACAGACTATTACTTTTGTATGAGATATATTTCTTTCTGTCAATAAGTATTTAATAAGCACCTACCATTGTAAAGGGCTTATAACTCAACTTAAGGAAAAAGACTGAAATAGACTCGAAGGAAGAGGAACAGAAGTACAGGAGGAGGAGATCAGCAGCAGCAGGGGGCGAGGCATGTTCATTATTACCTGATCACACGAGCTATGGAGAAGGTAAGAACCACTGGACTCAAAGGACTGCAGTTGAGGAAGGACGAGTGGAGAAAACCTTGCTGGGAAGAGGACTATAGACTTGAAGGTGATGAGTGTCAGCATCCCAGCTTTAGCAGGAGCTTCCCTGAAAGAGGGAAGAGGATGTGAACCCTGGCCTGGTGGAAGGGCAATAACGAGGCCAGTGCTGTTGGAGTCAGTGAGAGCACAAGCTTGGAGGAAATGTGGAAGGCCTGGCCAGAGGAAGGTACCAATGAAGTCCCCTGAGAGCAGAGCCGAGAGCAAGCGTGTGAGGCTGTGGCGAGGGCGGGAAGACGGAAACTGAGATTAGCTTCTGGGTTATCCTGAACGAGATCCTGGATGGGCTGAAGGGACTGGCTGACAGAATGTCGAGCATGGCTTTGCTTTGAGGAGGTAGAAGTCACCCACCAAGACCTGCAAAGCTGACCAAAAGAAAGCAGCTTTGGATCACGCAATAATCTGACTGTCTTCTTCAGTCAGAAAATTCAACAAGTCACACAAAACACTAACTTGTGAGTACTTTAAAATAACCAGGAAGACAATTGAATTTGCATTTATGGAGTTGGTAAAAAAAAAGAACGCGATGTAGAACAGTACTGGCCAATAGAACTTTCTGCAGGAACGGAAGTCCACCTGGATGCTGTCCACTAAGTGCTACTGGCACATAACTGTGGCTTGTGACATGGAGGAGCCAAAAATTAGTTCATTTGTCTTTAGTGAATTCAACTTGAAACGTGGTGAAGGGAAATGTGACTGATGCATTTGACAGTGCTGATTAACAGTATCAAGAAGGAACTTATCACGATGTTTCAGGTCTGTAATTCTAGCATTCTCGAAACTGAGGCAGGAGGATTAAGAGTTTGAAGCACCCTAGGCTACATAATGATACCTTGTCTTAAAAATAACACAAATCACCAGACTTGCTACAGCACACCTTTAATTCCAGCACTCGAGAGGCAGAAGCAGGAGAATCTCTTTGACATCAAGACAAGCCTGGCCTACAGAGTGAGTTCCAGAACAGCCATGGCTACACAGAGAAACCCTGTCTATAAAAACAAAAAACACACAAGTAAACAAAACCCAACAGCAGTTCTCTGCAGCTAAGAAGACCAGAGTTCAGAACCCAGCACCCAAGGGACAAACTGGGTATTCCTTTTTTGTTTGTTTGGTTTTGGTTTTTTTTTTGTGTGTGTGTGTGTGTTTTGTTTTTACGAGACAGGGTTTCTCTGTATTGTTTTGGAGGCTGTCAGTCCAGCCTGGCCTCGAACTCACAGAGATCCGCCTGTCTCTGCCTCTCGAGTGCTGGGATTAAAGGCGTGCGCCACCACCGCCCGGCCCAAACTGGGTATTCCTACAAACACTCATAGCCCCAGCTCTGAGGAGGGGGGGACAGTGAGATCACTGAAGTTCTCTAATTAAAAGCAAGTTTCAGATATAAGAAGAGATAGATATAGGTAGAAAATGTTGGAAGATGACACCTGGAAATACTTTTTAGCCTCCACACAGGCATGAGCACCAGCACATCCATGTGCATAGACTCACACAGACACACATAAATAAGTATAAAAGTCTTAGGGCATTGGAGAGATGGATCAGTAGTTAAGAGAGTGTATTGCTCTTGCAAAGAGCCCCCCAACACACACACAATTTTAAAACAACAAAATTGAATCTTAACAAATAAATTAATTTTGGAAGTGGTGCAAATTGCCAATGATAACAAAAATATTGATAGGAAATAGGCAACTGGTGAATACTGTGCACACTGCATGAAAATACTGTCAGTTTCATCGCTCTGTGACAATAGCACTTGAGAAATTATGGTGTCTGGATAAAACACAAGGTTAGAGAATTTTATGATTCCAGCTAAGCTTTGGTACCTATTTCCACGAAGTAGCAGATCCCACAGATCACACCACTGCACAATGAACACATTGACCATAAAAGACCCCTTTCTCAACATTGCCTCTGTGTACACTACAATTCCAAAACTGTGTAGCTTCCCTGCCTTAGCTAAAACCCTCTTTATCTCAGGAACTATGCAAACATTTGACTTTGTTCTGTGAGATCCAGGTGTAATGTTGTATCATTCCTCTCAGGAGGAAAAAATACACCGTGCATTCCCTAGGCTGAGTTCTGTTATTTAATTGAATTAAACTATTGTTCTGTCAGGGTCATAGACTACAAGGTTATAGAGAATATTCATCAGTTATCTACTGATACAGTACACCTTCAAAACAAGCCACCATCAAGAGTTGCTATATTAAATAGCAATAATTTGTTTAGTTTGTGAATCTAGGGGTCACCCTGGAGATTTTGCTGCTCTGGCCCTCATGTCTCAGGGCTAGAGTAGACTGGGGACTGGAAGACCTCAGAGTTCTTCTGCAGGATACTTGCCTCCTTCTGATTCATATGTCTTTTCTGGAGGTGAGCTCAGATGGTTTCACAGCACAGAAGTGGGGTTCTAAGAAGCAGATGGGAGTAGGTTAAGGCCATGAACACTTGAACTTGGGACTAATAAATTGAAGGTTAATTGAGATTTAAGAAGTAAGGAAAAATTGGGTATGGTAGGTCCCTCCTAAAGTTCTAGCCTGGGTTCTAAGCCAGCCTGTTTCAAAGAGCAAATGCAAAGGAGGGGTGGACAGACATAACATTTTCCTCAACTCTGATTGACAGTCAGCTTTTTGGTTGATCTTTGGGATTGTGACTTACCACTGGAGCCAAACTTCCAAAGGGAAAAAGAGAAGTTACACCCTACGACACCATGGATGAAAATAAATGAGGACTATCTTAGCTAATAGGAACTGAATGCGGCTAGTCTTCTTTGATCTCTCTTCCATGATAGGAAAATCCAAAGCGGAAAGTCTACATAACTGGAAAACTAATAATAAAGCAAACTTATCATAAAAAGAAGTACAGTCTAAAAATTAATGGCAGTCTCCAAGCTACTAGTCTGCTTACTAGGAGTCTGGAAATGCTATTTTACCAGATACCTCATTCTGTTTTGTTATTGTAACAAAATACTACAAGTGGTGCAAATTACCAATATAGGAGGTTCAGTTTTTCAAGGTTCTAGAGGCTGCACATCTACAAGTGAAGGGGTACATC